CTCTCCTCCCGTGTTTCCGAGGTCCACCTCCCGGTCCGGGTTACCCCACGGGAGCGAACCATATGGTCGTTGAGAGATTGTCGCGCTTTGGATTTCAGGCCGCTGTGTGTCCATTAAAGGGGGTTGGGGGCTGCGGGTGGTAGAGTCCTTGCTTACCATAGTCAAGGCCCTGAATTCCGTCCCCAGCACCACAAAAAAACAAGTCTAAACGGGGGCGCGGCGCCCTCGTGCTACCCCTCCAGTTATACCCCGATCTCATGCTCCCAGGTTGTAGTTGGCTCCGGGAAGATGGTGATGTTGGTTGTCGTTTCACTGTGCACTAGTAGGTTGGGGCATTTTAAAGCCCCTTCCTTATTCGTTATTACTCTCCCACAAACCAGATATAGCATTTTACGGAGAAGGAAACTGGTTCAGAGACGTACAACCACTTGCTTATTATGGGTAGAGCTGGATTTAAACCTGGGTCTGAGAGTCTTCATGCTGTCCTCTATCTCCTTGGGTCCATTTCTTCTCATTCCCTGAGCCACTGTGGTCAGCAACACCGGATTGGAGTCTTGGCCTTGCACTAACTATCAGAGGGAACTTAGCTGATTTGTTTCCTGTATCTCAGTTACCCCATTTGCAAAATGGGGAAGGTGCATCCTCATTCAGGAGGTTGATGTGAGACTTAGCTGCGGCATGATGCTAATGAAGAGGGCATGGTGCTAATGAGGGCTCTTCTGTGTAAAATATTGTCCTGTGGCATGTCTGGGCGGGCAAGTGGAACAGAATCCCATTTTGTGAAAGACTTAATTGAGCTGGGAGAAGTGAACATCTTGCTCAAGGCCACAGAGAGAGGAAGTGACAGACTCTGAATTTGAACTTGGGATATCTGACTCCAGAGGCCAAACTTAGCAATGTGGATATGTTTCCTTATGCACGAATTTGGGTCAAACTTTACCTAGGACTGATTCCTTTCTTCTAGTCCTGAACTCTTCCTTTCTTCTGCCAATCAGGAAGGAAATCTCTGAGACCTCTATGGCTCTGGAATTTGATAGGCTATTTTGAGGCTTGCACTCTCAGTTGAACCCTTATTTTTCTTTATTTAGCTAATGTTCATCTTGAATTCCCTGGTCAAGGGAACAAATTGTGGGGCATGGGGGACATTTGTGGAAATCAGGGCAGTGCCCGTTTATGATCCAGTACTAAATTATCTTATTGTTTTACCCACCAGCATGGCTATAATTGTCTGGGTGAGGTCAATCATATTCAGGTCAAGAGACTTGGAGCCAGGGTTGGGTGACATGTTGGGGTACACGGGGTGCTGGAGACCCTCCCCACACTGACGCTGCCCCTCTCTCCTCTTAGCCGGCTCCAGTGCCCAGACCCAAGCCCCTCACTGCTCAATGGACACCCCCAGCCCAGACCCGTTGCCTTCGACTTTGACTGGGGAGGAAGAGAAACCTCTGGCCTTACTTCCTCCCGTTCCCCGGGGCCGCAGAGGCAGACCTCCCGGGGGAGCCGCCTCCTCAAATCGGACCCTCAAGGCCTCCTTCCCTCGCAAGCGGGGCCGCCCCCCCAAGTCAGGGCAGGAGCCCCCGCTGGCGCAGGAGCTGACCTCACAGGTGGGCAGTGGTGGTGGCAGCGACCTCCTGTTGATCGATGATCAGGGTGTACCCTATACAGTCTCAGAAAGGTCGGCTGCAGGTGGGCCCCAGGGCTCTGTCTCCAGAAGGGCCCCGCACTTCTGCCCTGTGTGCCTGCGCGCCTTCCCCTACCTCTCCGACCTGGAGCGCCACAGCATCTCACACTCGGAGCTGAAGCCACATGAGTGCAAGGATTGCGGCAAGACCTTCAAGCGGTCCAGCCACCTGCGGCGGCACTGCAACATCCATGCGGGCCTGCGGCCCTTCTGCTGTCAGCTGTGCCCTCGCCGCTTCCGCGAGGCAGGCGAGCTGGCACATCACCACCGCGTGCACTCCGGTGAGCGCCCATACCAGTGCCCAGTGTGCTGGCTGCGCTTCACTGAGGCCAACACCCTGCGGCGCCATTCCAAACGCAAGCACCCAGAGGCCTTGGGAATGCCCCTGTGTCCCCCTGACCCAAGGCCCGAGACGCCGTGGGACGAAGAAGAAGGCATCCCGGCCACAGCTGGGGTGTGTGAGGAGGGGCCTGAGGGGAAGGAGCCCGCCTGTCCTGCACCCTCGGCCTCTGCTTCCCGGTCCTGGCTTACAGCCAGGAGCTCAGCTGGCACCGGGCCCAGGCAAGTGGGCCAGGACACCCTCACTTCTGGTGGTCTTCCTGTCTTGGGAGGGGGTCGAGGCTAGGGACCTACACCTCCAGGTCCTGCTGCCTTGTGGCACCTTCCTACGGACTAACAGGCCCCTGGAGGCAGGGGCTGTGGCAATAAATCCCTGCCTACTGGCTTCCTGTGTGTGTTCCATGATGATGCCTCTTCTCCATTGCAGTGTTCAGCGGCTGCACCGCCCTGACAGAAGTGCGTGGGATTCCAAATAACCCCATGTCACGTGCCTCGCTAGCATGGCGCCAAAGAATGGCTCAGAAGAAGCCTTTGCTCCTCTCCCATTTCCACCGGACCCCAAAGTACTACCAATAAAAAGCCAGACTAAGTAAAACAGTGAACTTCTATGCAAATTTGACTCTAGGCTCCCCTCATCCTTGCCAAATTCCTGACACTGTAGGTCCTGCCTCCCTGGACCCACAGTTTGCAATGAAACACTGAGTTGAGGGCTGGGATAGAACTCAGTCGAGAATGTGTGCCTTGCATATATGCAAGCCCCTGGGTTCAACCTCCAGCACTAAAAAGGAAAAAAAAAAACAAAACTTGAAGAGGACTGAATTTCGGTAGGGTTTATCAAAAGAAGGGGGGGGTGCTTGGCCGAGGTGCAAGCCTTATTGGGCAGTTAGGGGGCATTAGGGCGGGTCTTAGAAGGTGCAAAGGCTGGGGATGCTTTAAAGAGGTTAAGGTTGGCCAGAAGAAAGAGAATGACTTCCAGAGAATGGGCGTGAGTTTACCTGAGGGATGGGACTAGAAAGAGAGCTTTCGAATGACAACGCATTAGAAGTATGACTTAACTGTTAGAAAGTGCTGGGGGGTGGACATGACTAGGAGAGGGAGGTACCTGAGAGAGGGGGAACTTAGCAGGGGGAGCTGAATAGATCTGGGCTTCCCTACTTGAGGTAGGGCTCAGTTGGGAGGTTTATGGAGTTATGTGAGGGGAGCAGTGTCAAGTGTGGTAAAGCTGTGGTTGAGCTCAAGAGACCCTCCTGAAGGGTATTTTCAAACACAGACGCTAGGCCCCACCACATAGGTCTCTTCTACTGAGAGGTTTGGGGCAAGGAGATGGAGACGGATCATTGTTACTCAAGAACCACCGGTTCAAGGCGATGCTTTAGGTGTGAGACATAACCATACACACAAGTTATGAGGGTCGTGCAGCTGTGGGAAGAAGGACAGGGCTTAAATCCAAGGGGCAGACACAGTTTAAGAGCCCCCCCCCCCCCCCCCCCCCCCCCCCCCCGCCCATGGTCAGGGCTTGGAAGGGGCGTGGCAGGGCTTGGGAGGGAGGGTGGAGCTCCAGAGCATAGAGTCTTGGAGACAGGAAAGAGGGACAAACTTGGTGGAGGTGGGGCGAAGGGTACAGGTTTGGGGCGAGGGCGGAGCCTATAAAGATTGAAACGAGGTAGGCGTGGCTCAAAGTCCGGGGGCGTGGCCCAAGCGTGGGACCCGAGCTCAGGGTGTGCCTTAACCGGATGTCCGCAGCACGTGGGCGGTGCCGGAGGAAGAAGCGGGCACACATAGCGCAGGCGCACCTGACTCCGCTGACCCACCGGAAGCCGCCTAGGCCTTCCCCGCCCTTGTCCCCGCGATAGTGCGCAGGCGCGTTGCCCCTCCCCGCGCTGCCGCCGCCGCCGCTACCGCCTCCTTCCGTCTTCCACGCCGGCGCCTCGGGAACAGGCGCGACTTCCGCTTCCGGGCGGGCGGCGCGGGGCTGCCGGGGAGGGGGAGGGGGTCGCACTTCCGGTAGGCCCCTCGGGTCTCCCCGGAGCGGCGGAGCCTCCTCCGCCTTCTCGGCCTCCTCCCGGCGGAGACCCCGGCGCCGGTGAGTGACGGGCGCGCGGCCCGGGGGCCCGGGCGGCGGGGGCGGGGGGCTCCGCCCTGGACTGCAGCGGTCCTCAGGACGCCCCCCCAGAACGTCAGTGCTTCTCTGCCGGGCGCTAGCCAGGGCCCCCCACACACACTGCTCTCCAAAAGGCCGCTCCAGATGTGTCCCGCATGAACGCCCCCTGCTCGGACGGCTGCCAGAGCGCCTTCATTCTGACGGTCCCCTCACCTGCCAGGCCCCCCACCAATGCTTTCTCTAGGATCTCTTTCACATAGTTCACCGTCATTGCTTCTTTTGCAGGGCAGTCCCCCGATGCCACCAGCATTGCTCCTCTTGTAGTGCAGTGGCTCGTGAATCCTAAAGGACTGCCTCCGAAGAGGGCTGCATTCGTGCTTTGCGACATAACTGTCCCCCACTAACGATGATTACATACATTCCACTCCCAGAGCCCCTTTTGTCGTAAAAATGTTTTCTATTCTGATCAAAATGCTATTTACTCATGTAACCCCTCCTTAATTCCGCTCAAGAATACCCCTTTCAAACACACCCCTCAACGAACAGCTCCCTCTAGCGTTCCCCTTTAATACCCACATCTTCCCTCCTGCCGCCCCCCCCCCCCAGGCCCCCAGCAGAAAAAACCTGTCTGCTTAGCGCCAGACTCTGCTCCTGCCTTCATCCTGGCCTCCTCTGCCTTCAGTACTTCTGCTCTAGAACAGAGCACGGCAGTGGGACGTTCTTAGAATGTTCTCCTTCCCCTAGCCTTAGCCAGTTCTGTAGTCACTTGCAGCCAGCTTGCATGACACTTCCCTGGACTTCCTAGGGAAGGTTCCCTGGCTCCACCAGCGTGCAACACACCTCTTTCTGTAGACATTTGTTGTTCATGGAGTGACTATTCATCCTTCCAGGTCCAGGGCATATAGTTGGGAAGGAGAGAGGTGCAGACAGTTTTTCATCTTATGAAGTTTTAAAGTTTAATTAAGGCAGATCAGAAACAAGAAAACAAATAAGCAGTATAATGCTCGCTCTCCAGGAGGCTGGTGAGCCTCTTCAGAAGTGAAACCTGAATCATGAGAGGAAATTTAGCAAGGCAAAGATCTTGGTAAACAGCCAGGGGGGACAGGGCACTGTGACCATGGTGAGTAGAGGAGCAGCGGAGGAGGCTGGTGAGGGTGGAGCATGAAAATTGAAGGGAAGAGGGTTGGAGGGAAGGCTGATGGCAGAGAGCTTAGGACACCTCTTCTACCCCAAGCCCCGAAGGCACATCATTCATGTATGTTCACACACACACTTGCAGATATTTTATGAGTGCCCACTTCACCCTAGGAATGCCACAAGAACAAAACAGGTAAAAATCCCAGTCCATGTGGACTGGATATGATGTCAAGAGGGCAGACATCTAAAAATCAAAATCCATAGAAATCCAAAGTCATACAGTGGGCTAAGGAGACAGAGTTATAGGGCTGGGGTTTCAGGAAGACCTCACCCAAGATTCCCTCACTCTCCAATAAGCCATAGGACAAAAGGTTAGATTTGGGTGTAAATTCCACTCCTCTGGACAACTGTACTGCTTTTAATACCCTCTCCCCAGGAGCAAATGATTAAGAGGGGCTACTAGGGCTCATAACTTAAAGCACTTTCTCTCTTCAGTCACTTTTTCTCTTCCCCTCCTTCATTAATTTAATCAATGAGTTCTTATCAAGCCAGGCACTCATGTTGGTCCTGAGAACAGAGTAGTGAACAAAATGTAAACTTTGCTTCTGAGCTGGGTTTGGTGCCTATTATCCCAGTGACTTAGGAGGCTGAAGCAGGAGGATTGCAAGTTCAAGGCCAGCCTCAGCAACTTAGCAAGGTTCTAAGCAACTTGGTGAGAACCTGTCTCAAAAATTAAAAGGACTGGGGTTGTAGCTCAGTGGTAAAGCACCCCAGGGTTCATTTTCCAGTATCTGCCACCCTCGGTTTTTTTTGTTGTTTTTTTTTCCCCCTGTCTCTGCAGTGGCACCAGCTTATGATCCCAGCTACTTGGAAGGCTGAGGCAGGAGGGTTTTAAGTTTGAGGCCATTGTGAGCAACTTAGCCAGATCCTGCCTCTATACAAAAATGTTTTTTAAAAAGGGCTAGGGTTGTAACAGGTAGTTAGAGCAGTTGCCTTATATGCGCAAGGCCCTGGGTTCAATTCCCAGTACTGAAAACAACAACAAAATATTTAAAAAAACAAAAACAAAAAAACACTCTCTGGAGAGGGAGACCAGCAAAACAAGACAGGCTGGCAGAACGTGTGGAGCATTAGTTGATGGTGAGTGGTATGGAGGAGATGAAGCAGTGGGGATGTGGGCCTGGCCGTGGGCCACAGTGGTCACCAAGAGCCAGTTTGAGAAGACAAAGTGGAGCAGACAGGAAGAAGGTGAGAGAAGGAGTCAGAGCACTTTGGGCAAGGCAGCAGCCCTGAGCATGGGTAGAGCGGACACACTTGTGTCTGTGGGGGCCTGTGGGGGAGATGGAGGTCATCCTAAGGTCTCAGTTGTGCTCTGAGTAGAGTCATTGTAGGGTTTTGATTAGAAGAAGGTCATGGTTTGACTCTTGTCCTATCTTTAAATGGGAATAGTAATGTTTATGAGTTTGTTGTGAAGTTGAGACAAGTCACATGAGTCAACAAACAATAGAGTTAACAAATGTCAGTGGCTTACCATGGATTGGGTCCACCCAAGAGATTGAGATTAGGTGGCAGGGAGGTGGATGAAGCAGATCATGTCTCCAGTATACAATGGAATGGGGGCTCCACCGTTGTCTCAGGGTAAAATACTGAAGGCATATGTAGGGAGTCACACCTGCTGTGTGATGTTGGGAGACTAATTTACCTCTTGGTTACTTTCTTAGTTACTTCCTTTGTATTTCAGAGTCAATATGTGTAACCATCTGGGCATGGAGGCGCACACCTGTAATCCCAGCATCCCTGGATGATGAGGCAGTAGGTCCCAAATTCTGGGCCAGCCTGGGCAACTTAGACTCTGTCTCAAAATTTAAAAGTAGAAGTGGTGGGGGAGGCTGGGGATGCAGCTCGTTGGTAGAGTACCCTGGGTTCATTTCCCAGTGCCAGAAGGAAAAAACCACCAGATTAATTTAACTCTTCTCATAGGGTGTTTGGGAGGAGGGTTTAGAAGAGTGCTTGGCTGCTGGGAGGCTCTTACCCAGGGCTCCGTGCCTCTGAGCATCACTGTTAGATAACAACAGGCTGGAATTTCATCATGAGCTGCTGTGTTGCAGCTGAATGACTCACAGGTCCTGACATCAGAAACAACTAGAATCAAGAACCTGGTTTCCCTCTTACTGGCTATGTGACCTTGGGAATAACTCAGCTCCTCAGTTCCTCACTTAGCAGATGGGACCAAGAATGGCTCGAGACTGTTGTGAGGCACTAAGGACATGGTACACATCAAACTGGGCCAATGTAGATGTGAGCGGTCATAGCTTTCACTGGGGGACCTCTCTCCCCAGTATGCCTCTCTGCATAAAGCCCCTCTGTGACACATTTCCCCTCAGAGAGACAATGTGAAGCTCACTGAGTCCTCAGAAAGAGGAAGTATCTTATTTCTCACTGGAAGTCATCTTGAGACTGACCGTTCTCTCCCCACTAATCCCCACACACACACCTGCCCACCTTGCCCTCTGTGCCACAGCACTGTTCCCAGAGCCTGCTGTCTGCTCCCTGGGGAGCCGTCAGCTTGGCCTGCACCTGCTCGCTGCACAGAGCTTCATCAGCTCGGGCGCTCGCCACGGTCCTGTCCCTCTGGGCACTGCTTTGGCTGCATTTCTTCAGCTTTGGTGTGTTGTGGTTTTGTTTTCATCACTGCAAAAAGCATTTTCAAATTTCCCTTGTGATTTCTTCACGGACCCTTTGGAGATTTAGGAAGGGGTTTAATTTCTACACATTGGCAAGTATTTGTTAGGTGCCGACCTAGTGTCCATGAGTGCTGTGCTGGGTCCTGGGGTCAATTAGGGAACAAGGAAGGCCAGACAGTAAACACACAGCGAGGAGGACATCACCAGCCAGTGGCAGTGACTGGGATGTAGAGAAGAGTGGGATGGTGGCCTGGGAATGCCACCAGAAGGAGGCCCTGAGGAAGAACATTCCAGGCAGAAGGAAAGATCCATGTTGATTTTTTTTTCCAAGATAGTAGCCAACACCCCCTCCTACCAGGTTCCTTGTGCAGTCCTCCCTCGTACCCAGAAGGATGTGGAATAAGAGGGAATAAGACTCCTGCCTCCACTCCCAGGACACAGCTTCTAGCTGCTCAGGCCAGTTGCTCCCTTATAGACTGTTGCTCTATGACCTTGAGCAAGTCACTTGGCCCCTCTATGCCTTTATTTTCTCACCTTTTCAATGGAGAGAACAAATATCCCATCTCAGTTTTGGTGGGATTCAGTGAGTTAACAGGACAATGTGCTCAGAAAGGTGGACAGCCTGTGGAAATGCCAGCCAGCCACAGCTGTTAGTAACAGGTAATGTCCACCTTCCCACCACCCCAGGTTGCTCCCCTAAGCCCAGCATTCCTGCACTGAGTGTTTTCGCCTAACCCCTGGGGCCCGACCTAGGTTCTGCCTTTGCTCCTTCTGGAGAGAGATTAAATGGAGAAAGTATGAAGGGCATGGGATGTCAAGCCTTGTCCAAGGACAAGGACACTCAGCTGGAGATAAAAATATCGAACTCCGGTGGACAGGGGGTGGAGGAGGCACTCACCTTTTACCTGTGGGAGGAGAGAACCTGCCATGCTGACAAAGAATGAGGGTCTGTGTCTTGGGAGGCCCCTGGGTTCCTAAAGTGGGCTGGACACTGAGCCAGGCCCCCAAGGGTAGGGATGATGGGCATGTAGCAGACCCCATGGGCACCTCTCTTATTGGCTCAAAGGCTGGCTGGGTCCTGAGAACTCAGAGCAACTGCAGGAGACAGTGCTGGGGCGATTGTTCAGACAGGACAGCTGCAGTCTGGGATGTTAAGTACTCCTAGGCAGGTGCTGGGAGTGCTTGCTTGAGCTCCCCCAGGTGTGTGATGTCATCATGGCTGTGTGCAAAGCTCAGGGGACAGATGTGTTCCATTATGTGCTGTGTCGGCCTCTTCAGTCCCCCTGCAGTTCAGGACTTCCAGCCCTGTTTTAAACATGGAGAAACTGTGGACCCCAGCAGATGGCATTAGATCCCCATGTCTTCCCAGTCGCAGGGCCTGTGAGGTGCTGTCTGGATCAGGCTGTCCTCCAGAAATACCAGCACCCTTGCAAGCAGACACTTCTTCCCACCTTGAATTCCGGGAGAGCCCCTTCCCAAGGACCGGCTCTTCCTGTTCTCTTGCTTCTCCTGACTTCCCTTTTCTACTCCTAGAAGCAGTAGCAGTAACGACACGTGGTGATACTTTCCATGCATGCCAGCAGCACTTTACCTCGAGAGCTTCCACATGCCAACACTGCGTCCTCGTAACAGCCCTGTGGCCTAGGGATATGCTCTTCTTCCCCCTTTGGAGATGAGGTGGTCACTTAGTTAGAAAGTGGCAGGGCTTAGATTTGAACCTGGCATTCTCGCTCCGGAGCCCACTCTCTGAATCACTCTGACAGAGCTGCTGTTACCCTCATTTTACAGAGGCAAGCAAGTCCTGAGGGGACTGAGAACAGAAAGTGGAACCCGAGGTGACAGAGAGTCTTAGAACTGAGATCAGAGGCTCCCCCAGTGCCAGGGGAGCTAGACTGAGAAGGAGAGAATGGACTTGCAGGTGGTGAGGGGGAGGATCTGGAGATGGACTGGGAGGTATGTGAGGTCCCTGGAAAAGCTGGGGAGAGATGGAGGGAAGTGGGAAAGGGAGGGGAGGGCCGGGGCTGGTGCAGTGAGAGGGAAAGTTGGGGGACAAGAGGCTGGATACACAGCTCCCTTTGCTGGCCAGGGGCCTGCCGCCTTTCCTCAGCCCAATCCTCCTCTTTACAGGGTCTCCCTTCTCCCCATCTGCCAGAAATGGAGGCAAACCCGGCAGGCAGCAGCGCCGGGGGTGGTGGGAGCAGCGGCATCGGGGGCGAGGACGGGGTTCATTTCCAGAGCTACCCGTTTGACTTCTTGGAATTCCTCAACCACCAGCGCTTCGAGCCCATGGAACTGTATGGGGAGCATGCCAAGGCCGTGGCAGCCCTGCCCTGTGCCCCGGGGCCCCTACCTCAGCCTCCGCCCCAGCCCCCACCTCCCCAATATGACTACCCACCCCAATCTACTTTCAAACCCAAGGCGGAGGCTCCCTCCTCCTCCTCTTCCTCCTCCTCCTCCTCGTCCTCCTCCTCATCGTCGTCCTCTTCCCAAGCCAAGAAACCAGATCCGCCCCTGCCACCCGCTTTTGGGGCCCCTCCGCCTCCACTCTTTGACGCTGCCTTCCCTGCCCCACAGTGGGGTATCGTCGACCTCTCGGGACACCAGCACCTGTTTGGAAACCTGAAACGAGGAGGGCCAGCTTCTGGGCCGGGGGTAGCACCTGGGCTGGGTGCTCCAACAGGTGCACCAGGGCCACTTCCAGCCCCCTCGCAGACCCCACCAGGACCCGCCGCAGGGGCAGCCTGCGACCCAACCAAGGATGACAAGGGCTACTTCCGGAGGCTGAAATACCTAATGGAGAGGCGCTTCCCCTGTGGTGTGTGCCAGAAGTCCTTCAAGCAGTCCTCACACCTGGTGCAGCACATGCTAGTCCACTCCGGGGAGAGGCCTTACGAATGCGGCATCTGTGGCCGCACCTACAACCATGTCTCCAGCCTCATACGCCACCGCCGCTGTCACAAGGATGTGCCACCAGCTGCCGGGGGTCCACCACAGCCCGGACCCCCACTCCCTCAACTGGGTCTCCCAGTCCCCACAGCCAGTGCGGCCGCTGCTGTCCCCACCACAGTTTCCTCTGGCCCCCCAGGCACACCTTCCGCGCCTGCCACCTCTGGGGATGCCAACACCGCCCCCACTGCCCCTGCAGGCGTTGGCGTGCCCCCTCCGTCCACTGCAGGTGGTGAGGGCCCATTTGCCTGCCCACTCTGCTGGAAGGTGTTCAAGAAGCCCAGCCACCTTCACCAGCACCAGATCATCCACACGGGCGAGAAGCCCTTCTCCTGCTCCGTGTGCAGCAAGAGCTTCAACCGGAGGGAGAGCCTCAAGCGGCACGTGAAGACACACTCCGCAGACCTCCTGCGCCTCCCCTGCGGCATTTGCGGCAAGGCCTTCCGGGATGCCTCCTACCTCCTCAAGCACCAGGCGGCCCACGCGGGGGCGGGGAGCCCTCGGCCGGTGTACCCTTGCGACCTGTGTGGCAAGTCCTACTCAGCGCCGCAGAGCCTACTTCGGCACAAGGCTGCCCATGCCCAGCCTGCGGCTTCGGAGGCATCCAAGGACGGCGCTGCCTCTGTCCCGCAGCCCCCACCCACCTTTCCCCCTGGCCCCTACCTCCTGCCCCCGGACCCACCCACCACAGACAGCGAAAAGGCCGCAGCGGCCGCAGCGGCCGTGGTCTATGGCGCCGTGCCAGTCCCACTCCTGGGTGCCCATCCGCTGTTGCTTGGTGGGGCAGGGACCAGCGGGGCTGGAAGCTCTGGCGCCGGTGTCCCAGGAAAGACTTTCTGCTGCGGCATCTGCGGGCGTGGCTTTGGGCGCCGGGAGACACTGAAGCGCCATGAGCGCATTCACACTGGAGAGAAGCCCCACCAGTGCCCCGTGTGCGGGAAGAGGTTCCGCGAGTCCTTCCACCTGAGCAAGCATCACGTGGTGCACACCCGCGAGCGGCCCTACAAGTGCGAGCTCTGCGGCAAAGTCTTCGGCTACCCACAGAGCCTTACCCGTCACCGCCAAGTTCACCGGCTGCAGCTGCCCTGTGCCCTAGCCGGGGCCACTGGCCTCCCCACCACCCAGGGTGCGACAGGAGCCTGTGGGCCTGGGGCTTCCACCGCGTCTGGGGGGCCCACGGATGGGCTAAGCTATGCCTGCTCAGACTGCGGAGAACACTTCCCAGATCTCTTCCACGTCATGAGCCACAAGGAAGCCCACATGTCTGAGAAGCCGTACGGCTGCGATGCCTGCGGCAAGACCTTTGGCTTCATCGAGAACCTCATGGGGCACAAGCTGGTCCACCAAGCTGCCCCAGAACGCCTGCTCGCACCCACGCCGGGTGGCTCCCAACCCCCTGATGGCTCCAGCGCCACTGATGCGGCCAGCGTGCTGGACAACGGGCTGGCAGGAGAAGTAGGGGCGGCTGTGGCAGCGCTAGCAGGAGTGTCTGGGGGCGAGGACGCTGGTGGGGCTGCAGTAGCCGGGGCTGGTGGAGGTGCCAGTTCGGGTCCTGAACGCTTTAGCTGTGCCACGTGCGGCCAGAGCTTCAAGCATTTCCTGGGCCTAGTGACTCATAAGTACGTGCACCTGGTGCGGCGGACCCTGGGCTGTGGCCTCTGTGGCCAGAGCTTCGCGGGCGCCTATGACTTGCTCCTGCACCGCCGCAGCCATCGGCAGAAGCGGGGTTTCCGCTGTCCGGTGTGTGGGAAGCGCTTCTGGGAGGCAGCTTTGCTGATGCGCCACCAGCGATGCCACACAGAGCAGCGGCCCTATCGCTGTGGTGTGTGTGGCAGAGGTTTCCTGCGCTCATGGTACCTGCGGCAGCACCGCGTGGTGCACACTGGTGAGCGGGCTTTCAAATGTGGTGTGTGCGCCAAACGCTTTGCACAATCGTCTAGTCTGGCAGAGCATCGGCGGCTGCACGCAGTGGCTCGGCCACAGCGCTGCGGTGCCTGTGGCAAGACCTTCCGCTACCGCTCCAACCTGCTGGAGCACCAGCGGCTACACTTGGGCGAGCGCGCCTACCGCTGTGAGCACTGCGGCAAGGGCTTCTTTTACTTGAGCTCTGTGCTGCGCCACCAGCGCGCCCATGAGCCCCCGCGGCCCGAGCTACGCTGTCCCGCTTGCCTCAAGGCCTTCAAGGATCCCGGCTACTTCCGTAAGCACTTGGCGGCCCACCAGGGTGGCAGGCCCTTTCGCTGCTCCTCCTGTGGGGAGGGCTTCGCCAACACCTATGGCCTGAAGAAACACCGTCTGGTGCACAAGGCCGAGGGCCTGGGGGGCCCTGGAGCAGGGGCAGGAGCCCTGGGGAAGGATGCCTGACTCCAGAGTTTTATCTGCAGCTCCAATCAGATGTCCCTTCTTGACTCCTCCCTCCTAGGGCTGCTGATCAGACTCTTCCCCCTCCTTGCTGTCACCTGTCCTTCTGAACTTCAGATGTTTGAGTCTCCTTCAGGGCACATGCCCTACAAATCAAGACTGAATCACTCCCATCCTGGATCTCTGGACCTCCCCTCATTCTGTCAGACACTGAACTGAACCCTCTGTCCAACCCTCTTTTGTAACCCTCACTAGCCACCCCCAGCAGCATTCTGCCCTGGGAGCTCTTTGGTGGAGATTAATCTGAACTGCCTCCCCTTTGGAATCTGGCTGGACAGCAGATATGAGCTGAGTTGGGAGGGCACAAGGGGGGTCTGGGTGCTCTTGGATGGTGGGGTGGGGGTGGGGTGGCAGACGAAGCTTGTACAGAGCAGAGGACAATAAATCTTATCAACAGGGTGGTTGAAGTTTATCTTCAGATCTCAGGGAGAGTGGGGGTTAAGTGTTGGCGAGATGCAAGGCTGAGAACTTGTTTCCTTGGGGATTGTGATTCCCAGGCACCCTCTGCCTCACAAGCTGTGTTTCAGCTGGTATTCACTAAGGTTTGGCCACATTCCAAGCATTGGCCCAATGGTTGGGCCAATGGAAGTGAGCAAAACAGGTAGGTTTCTCCTGTCAAGAGCTGGCTAGGGGTACAGACTGCCCTGCATGGCACTTTCAGTGTTTGCTCACTTGCCACCCTTTCCTGAAGCCCCTGTCTTTCAGGTCCCAAGCTGGGGCACTGGGTGAGTTAGACATGGCCCTCACCCTTCAGAAGACTAGGGAACTCCTGTCAGGCATATCACAGCCTCGTGTGGACTCAATTTACAGCTCACTCGTAGCACCTGCCTCTCCAGGATAATGATTTGGGGTTTCAAAAGCCCTTTCAGAGATCCATGGTGGTACATGCCTGTAATTCCAGCAACTTGGGAGTCTGAGGCAGGAGGATGACAAGTTCAAGTCTGGGCTGGGCAACTTAGTGAGACCTGTCTCAACAAAGTATAAAAAGGGATGGGGATGTAGTTCAATGGTAAAGTACCTCTGGGTTTGTCAGCCCCCAGTAACAAAAAACAACTTATGCAACTCTCATTTTCATACATCACAGAACTGTGTGGTGTATGTCCTGCAGTACAAGTTTATAGTCATCCCGCTTGTCAGAAGAGGAGCATGGGGTCCTGGAGAACAAATGAGCTTCAAGGACACCTGGCAAATTTATGGTAGAATTGGGACTCATCTCAGGGTACTTTAATACCGAAACTTGAAGATGAAACAGGGGACACTGTCTGGGCAGGTCTAGTGTGACCCACAAGAAGGCAGCAACCCAGTGTGCCAAGTTCTCATGCTGCAGACCTACCATGAAACAGCCTACAGCAGAGCTCCAGGGCTCCAAGGTCACCTGGAAGTGGAAGTACCACTGAAGACTGAGGGAGCATGGAGTAGTCACCTTACCAGACTGGGGCAAGAGTTAAAAAAGCTTCCTCGAAAGGAGGGTGAGACCTGAACAGTGGATAAAGCAACAAGAGCTTGCCAGGTAGAAACATGGGCACATAATCCCAGGAAGAGGATGGGGTGTCCAACTAAACCAGCCATTCTCGAGAATTTAAAATCTAGTACAGCTGGAGGCTGGAGAGGGTGTGTGGCTGGATCCTGAAGGGGCTTGAATTCTAAACTGTACAGTTCGGAAGTTTTTTTAGGCTAAAGGCTGAAAACTGGCAGCGGCCAGTCTGGAAGCAATTCAAACCATTTAGTTTGTGCATTAAAAAAACAAAAACTTTGAATGGTTGGGATGTAGCTCAGTGGTAGACCCCTTGGATAGCATGCTCAAGGCCCTGGGCTTGGCTTAGTTAGCAACATTGTGGAATCTAAGAATTTTATGTGAAATCCTTTGATTTTACATAAAGTTAACTAATGGAACGTCTGAAAATTTGAAGAAATCTATCAAACCCAACCTGCATCCCTGTTGGCACTGAGTGCCATTACCTTCTCCTGAGGTGTGAATGTAAATGCTCCGTTTGCTCTCCATCCCACCACTCCTTGTTGAATGCCAACACTGAGCCCAAGTGTCAGTTGCCATGTTTCACCTCACAGATACTTTTCCCTTTAAATCTGGCCAAGCAGCTCTGGTAGGTATTTAAATTTGTGATCCCTTCTCAAAAGTCACAAGGAGCTGTGGATTGGTGTCAAGTATACAAGTGGCTCCAGTGTTGGAGAATGGAGAAGGTAGGGCCTCAGCTGGGCTGCTGTGCAGTTATCCAGATGTGAGGTCACTGTTGGCTTGGTCTACAAGAATAGTGATGATGAAGTATTCAGATGTCAAAGACACTTAAATGTGCTACATGGGGAGACTGATAAGGGATTAGGTGACGGAGGAAGACCACAGGAACCTGTCCAGGTTCCTAAGATGGGGAGAACAAGTGTTTTCCTGGGGAAATGGGTCAGTTTTGTTAACTCATCTGCAGGCAGTCTTGTGCTGGCTGATTGGGACTGACACTAGTGGTTTATTGTCTCCTGAGCAGATCAGGGAGCAAGCAAGTGTGCCAGCTGCAGGATCCCTACATTGTGTCAGCCTTCCTGAACCCTTCTCCCACACAGAAATAAAAGGTCTGAACAGCCAGTACCTATTCAATCATATTCTAAAGATGAGAACACAGGCTTGGAAAGTGGTACAGTGCAACTTAAACGTTTATGGAAGACCACAACATGGCTCTGCTCCCCCACTTCCTCAAAGAAGACAACCCAAATACAAGACTGACAAAGAGAAACCCTTCATCAAGTCCTTTAATAGGAATAGACTGGAGGTTTCCCACCTCCAGCTTTCAAGTCCTCTTATTCCACAGTGCCGCCAGAAGGCCATGCTGCCATTAGTTAGTCCTTCCTTGGGACTGCCTGGGACTAGGCAATAAACTGCTTCAAATTCAGAGTGGAGGAAAGTAGAGAAGCCTGAGACTTCTTTGCAGATGTGTTGGACCACAGGCTCTAAGCCTAAAGCTTCAGAAAGGAGCCAGTAAGTGGTGGACATCTTCTGCCTAGGGGTTTGTAGGCAACTCAAGTCCAGTGCAATACAGTGAGGTAGGAAAAGATTCCACCACCGTCCACCTTAGGGAGCCCCAAATAGTCCAGCACTCTGCAGAAGGCCTAGATCAGGAACAATATGGTGGATGAGATTTTCCCACCTTCCACTTGACCCTGGCTCCCCTTTTTTAGTGTTCAGGTTCTGTTACAGGCTACATTTTGCCCAAGGACAACCTAACAAGAATGCAAACAGGACAGTGAAATGCTTCCCACCGTATCATGTTCACCTGGGCACACACAGGGCTGCACTACCCCTCCTGTGGCCTCTCACCTAGGTGCAGTGTGGGTCTCTGGGAGTCCACAACCTTGGTAGTCTCCTTCTCCAACACCAGCAGCTCACTACCTCCCTGTCTGCCCCTGTCTCTTTCTGCCCACACCCTCCCCTGCAATCTGCCTTCTACTTCCAGAATTATCACCCCCAGACCTGCTCTCCCAGCCTACTGGTCAACTTCCACCTTCACCTTCACCATTTCCCCATGCCCCTCTTCCAGAGTGCTATCTGTCCCGCACCCACTCCCTGACCCTTCAGCCACCTCAAGTGAGCCCAACTGGCTCCCAGAGTCTCCCAACCCAGGCCCCGGCCCATGGAAGTGGGTGCGTTGGTGCTTGCGGAAGTTGGAGGAGTTGTTGAAAGTGCGATCGCAGAGGGTGCAGCGGAAAGGGCGCTCGCCAGTGTGGATGCGGGCGTGGCCGCTCAGCACGGAGGACTGCGTGAAACCCTTGCCGCAGATGCCGCAGTGATACGGGCGCTCGCCGGTGTGCACCCTCTCGTGGTCTCGCATGTCTGAGGAGCGGCGGAACGGTTTGGCACAGAACCTGCAAGCGAAGGGCTTCCCCACCGCCGCGCCAGCAGCCGCAGCGGCCATCACCACCTCTGACCTCTCCTGCGGCACCCCTGGGCTTGGCTCTCCAGCTGCTGCGGCTTGCGGAGGCCTGCGGGAGGTGCCTGGCTCCAGCCCATGTCGGTGCTGGTGCCGGAGCAGTGGCGCTAAGGCCTTGAAGGCCCGCGGGCACAGCGGGCAGCGGTAGGGCCGCTCCCCTGTGTGTAAGCTGTAGTGAGCACGGAGGCTGGCGGGACCTGGGCAACTGTGACCACACACGTGACACCGGCTTGGGTCCCCACCCTGCCCGCCCCCATCTGCGCCTGCCAGGTGGCCATGTTCATGGAACAGCAGCTCGGAGACCAGTCGGAAGGCAGCTGGACACAAGGCACAGTGGAAAGAACCTGGCTCTGGTGGCTCTGGTACCAGGGAGGTATCTGTGACCTTCACCACCTGGATCTCGATGAGGTCACTTGGGGGTGTGGCGGGGCGGCCATCATCAGGTGTCAGGACCTGGTAGGGGGAGAAGAACAAGGAGCCTGTGGACCCTGCCTGGAGACCTCCCCAGAAGCCCCCACTTACTTAAACGTCTGCTTCACTGCAGGCCACTGCTCCCTCTCCTTCTAGGTCATTACCAAGTCCCAGGATGCCACCCCATGCCCTCAGCTCTTCCCTCTTGCCTAAAATATATCGAGGACCCAGCCACCTCTCCTCCACCCAAGCTCAAACCCCTGTCCTGCTTCCATAGCTGAAAGAGCCTCCTAGAGGGAATCTGTTCCCACTTCTTCCCCTTATAATCCACCTCTCTTGAGCAGCCTGAATGGGCTCTTGAAAATGTAAATCAGATAAAGCCACTTTCCACTCAAAACCCTCCCATGGCTCCAAATGCAATTAAAACCCCAAATCCTCGCTATAGTAGCCACCCTGATCTGACTCCTGCTTATCTCTCTGACCTCAATGTAAACAGAAGCTGGCACCCAGTTGACTTCTGTCATCTAAATTTAGCTACCCAACCCCCACTCTATCAGCTCTCTTTTTATTTCCTTTATAGAATGTATCACCAAAAAAAAAAAATCTCATTTATAGTCTCTCTCCTCTCACAGGATGGCAAGCTACAAGAGAACACAATCCTTGTCTGTCTTGATCACCTCTGTTATAGACCCTGAACAAGCAGCTCAGTAAATGTTTGTTGAATTAATGAATGTCCCCAGTTACTCTCCAGTCCTGAATGAGGGGAACAAGGAGGAGGTTCCAAAGTCATCTGGGACACCCATTTCTCCCCACAAATCTTCCCATGGGCATTGAGAGGCATCACTTGCAGAATCATCCTTTCACCCCTACATTGTGACCTGGTCATTACCCCTCTTTCAGGGTCACCTTTTCAACCTTCCAGCCAAGTTGGCTAGCCCTAGAATTTCCCGAAGACCCCGCCCCTATGAAGGTACCACCCTAATTATGCAAACGAATCCCTGGGATTCCTCACCATGGCCCAATCCTGCACCACAGACAACCCCTGTCGCCAGGCCCCGCCTCTTCTAGGCCACTCCCTCGAATCCCATAGGCGCCTCCCTAGGCCCCGCCCCCAGGCCCTGATTCCACCCCCGCCAACCTTCATAGGCCCCGCCCCCTGCCCTGCGACCTCTCCCGCCTCGAGGCATTCCGCCCAGGCCCATTCATCGAGCCCACCAGGTCCGGCGGCTCCAGGGATCGCGACTCTGGGATCCGTGAGCTCGGACTCGTGTGCTCCGGGCGCGCAGCGGCCATCTTGTGCCCAAGCCCCGTCCCCGAGGCCAATGGTCGCTCTCCAAGGGGGTGGGGCTTGGGCCGGCGTCAGAGGTTCTGCGCCGGCGCACTGCACGGTGGAGAGGGGCGTGGCTGGGGCGAGGCTCGGGCCGCTCTTCTGCCTGCGGGTCGGGGCCGGCGCGGAGGCAGGCGGCTGGGTGGCGAGAGGCGGCGTGGCGCGGAGGGCGGCCGGGTAGCGAGGAGGGCGGCCGGGGTCCTTGCTCGCGCAGGCGAGGCGTCCAGACGGGCCTTTCCACGGCGCTGGCCGAGCCGGGCTTGCTCGGGAGCCTCGCAGGTGAAGTTGTCGCGGTCGCCCTCTCTGCGGGGCGTGAGGACGCCGGGTGCGGAGTTTGTGAATCGAAGGCGTTCTCAAAGTCGGTGTCGAGAACGAGTCTCGGTGAACCGCCGCCGCGCGGGTGCCGAGAGGAAGCCGGCCGCTGTGGGAGCCGCTCGGGGCCAGGGGCGACGGCAGCACCAAGGACAGGGCTCCTCGCGCCGCTCGCGGTCCTCCAGCCTCCTGGCTGCGGTCTAAGTTAGTCACTGCACTTCTCTGGACACTCCCCTTTCTCCTGGACGGGACTGCAGCCCTGGGAGAACAGAGACGTAGAAGAACCGTGAGACGCTCAAGTGTTTCCTTGGCAGGGCAGGAGACCCAAAACATGACCGTCGCTCCCAAGTTTGCAGTTCCTTCGGGGAACATGATAAGGTTGCTTTAATATATATATATATATTAGTTTTTTAGGTGGACACGATGTCTTTATTTATTTCCTTAATGTGGTGCTAAGGATCGAACCCAGTGCCTCCTGCGTGCTAGGCGAGCGCTCTGCCACTTAGCCCCAGCCCAGGGTTACATTTTTCTTTGAAGTTAAATGTAGTCGTTGACTTGTAGGTGAAAGTGTTGCGTGACCTCTTCAGTACACATGAAGAACCATAGAGCGACCCACAGTCTTCCATTCTTACTGGTTTGGTTAGAGATTGTTGGTCAAAGTCAAGTTTGCAGCAGCCCAGGCTCCAGAGTGACTAATGAACACAAAGCTGGTGCCTTGGATATATAATGTTTACAGCAAGCATGTGTTGTGTTAAGCCACTGAATTTTAAGGTCGTCCTGTAGCGAACTCTGCCTTGATCAGGTCCTCAAGATGATAAGCACACATTCTACCACAGAGCTACACCCACAGTCCCAGATAGGTAACCTTTAAAATAAACTTTTATTAATTTCTTTGATCTTTGGGCTTATTTATTGCTGCAGCATAACCTATCTCAACTGATACATAAAGTCTTTTACTTATATTCATTTTGTTATGAACTACTTCTGCATAGGAAAGAATACAGAGTAACATAATTCTTCATACTCAACCAAACAACATTTAAAATATACAAAACACATACAGCCTGAGGCCTCTGTGTATCTCAACATTCATTCTCCTCTCTCTCTTGCCTTGCCAGGGGTTATTAGATTTTGCATCTACTGTTCATCATTCTCATGCATGATTGGGTTTTTTTTTGTTGTTGTTGTAATTTTGAGACATAGCCTCACTAAATTTCTTCGGGCCTCACTAAATTGCTGAGGCTGGTCTTGAACTTGTGATCCTCCTGTCTCAGCCTCCCATGCTGCTGAGATGACAGGTGGATGCCAACACACCAGGTTCATGCATGTATTTTTAAAATTTTTGCTACAGGTATGCAAAGATATGAAATTATTCTGCATGTTTTAAAATTTTATAATAAATTATGTAACTTCAGTGCAAACTCTAAACTCTAACTCCCCCAGCCTTGGCATTGGTTTTTTTTTTTAATTTTTTTTAATATTTATTTTTTTTAGTTTTCGGCGGACACAACATCTTTGTTTGTATGTGGTGCTGAGGATCGAACCTGGGCCGCACGCATGCCAGGCGAGCACGCTACTGCTTGAGCCACATCCCCAGCCCCCTTGGCATTGTTTTCATGTCTACATTAATACGTGCAGTTTAATGGCTCATTGGAAACACCCACTGACAATTATATTATCTTCATCTAGTTTACCTACATCATTTACATTACCTTCATCTAGTCTCTGTTGGTGGACACTGGGTTGGTCCAAATTTTTATTATTACATACAACACTGCCACACTGTTATTGCTCATGTCTTCTTGAACCCAAAGGGAGTTTTCTCTAATAATACTCCTGGGGGTTGCAGTTGTAGCTTAGTGGTAAAGTGCATGCCTAGCATGCACAGACCCTGTGTTCTATCACCAGTGCCACAAACAACAACAACCAAATTTGCAAGATACACCTGGGAGTTGAGTTGCTGGATCGAGAAATTTGAGTCACTGGTGGAAATACAATGAGTCCGTGACTCAGTGTCTGGGAAATTTTAGGTAAGACATTTAATAATGCCATGGTTGCATTATGATTTTCATGGGCCCTGTCTTTTTGGTCCTTTTGATCCTAAAATACATTACAAATTATATTTTATGACTACATTGGTATGCAGATGAACATAACTGAGAAAGGATTATGTTTTTCTTTTGAGTGCTTTTGAAATGGGGTATCAATATATTGCCTGGTCCTGTCTCAAACTTCTGGGTTCAAGAGATCCCTGACCTCAGTCTCCCAAGTAGCAGGAACTACAGATGTGCACCATCATGCCTGACTTCCTTGTAACATAAAAATAAATTAAACCATGTTTGTGAGCCTGGTGCAGTGTTGCATACACTTGGGAGGCTAGGTAGGAGGACCTCGAGTTCAAAGCCAGCCTCAGTAGAAGGGAGGCACTAAGCAATTCAGTGAGACCCTGTTGCGAAATAAAATACCAAATAGGGCTGGGGATGTGGCTCAGTGGTCAGGTGCCCCTGAATTCGATTTCTGGTTCCAAAAACAAACAAATGAACAAAAAAACCATGTTTTGAGTCCCTAAGAGAGTATGATAGGCTCTAGACACTCTGTTTACCTGTTGAGTCTAATAGATAAGTAGCCCTTTCTCTTAGTTTCCTAATTTATAAAAGTAAGGTTACACGTTACATGGTTGCTACAATGATGAAGAAATCTTTTAACATGTTTGGAATAGTGTATAATACAAAGTAGGTGTCATGTGTTAGCTAGGATTAAGCTAGAATTATTTCTACCAATTTACATTCTCACTGGCAATGCCTGGGAACCGCCCCCCCCCCCGCCCCTTTGTGGACATCCATACCAACGACTAGTTGAACAAACTTTTAAATGTTTGCCATTCTGTGGTGTTAAGTGGTTCCTCATAGAGAATCTCTTTGTCAAATGAGATTTGTTCTCTGCTCTCCTGTTCTTAAGAGCCAGAATGATTTCATTTCTGCATCCACAGAGAAGGCATATAGATGCCCCAGTGTGTGTTACTGAGTGAATGGATTTTTGCAATAAAGATTTGTTTACTGGACCTTGAGGTCACTAAATATGAGAAGAGGAAAGCATGGTTCAGTGGGATGACTGGGTTTTCAAAGATGGCAAACCCAGGTCCAGATCTGTGGATTCATTTGCTATGTGACTTTGGGCGCATGGGTTTCCTCCCAGTGTCTGACTGACATTGCAGAGTGAGCACTGAACACCCTTTTGGCAGGGTTGTGGTAAGAGCACCACAGACTGGGAACACCAAGGGTCCAGCCTAAATCCTGGAGGCAGCTGGTGCTGAATAATTCTGGGTTTCTTCCTTCCTTCCTGTTGCCTGTCTGCGAGGCTGTTGGGGCTGGCATGGCACTGACAGCCTGTTGCACAGCCTGATGCTACATGGAATCACTAGAACATGGAATAAAGAGTCCTGTTTTGGGATCAGAGGTGTGGGGGTCCTGTCTTGCTTATTTCTCTCACTTTCTGACTGTGAAATACAGTGCCTGACACCTCTCCTCACTGGTCCTGGACTCCTTGCCTCAAAAACTTTTTTTTTTTTTTTTTGTACTGGGGATTGAACCCAGGGATGCTCCACAATTGGGCTATATCCACAACTCTTTGTATTTTATTTAATTTTGAGTCAGAGTTTCCCTGAGTTGCTAAGGCTGATTCAAACTCACCATCCTCTTGCCTCAGCCTCCTCATCCACTGGGATTATAGGCATGCACTACTGTGCCTGGCTTGTCTTTTACAACTGCTTGGTTAAAAGACTCACCATATGGCCCACAGATTCCACTCCCAGTTATGTGACCAAGAAATAAATACACAGGTTTCCACAACAGTTTCATAATCAGAAGCTTATACTGATTTTTCATAATAGTCAAAGTGCAGGAACAACTCAAATGTCCATTGCACTGACAAATGAATGAACAAAATGTAGTATATCCATTCATAAAATACTATTTGACAATGAAAAGAAATGAAGTACTGGGGCTGAAGTACTGTGGCTCAGCCATAGAGTGCTTGCTTAGCATGGCCCTGGGTTTGATCCTCAGAACCACATAAAAATAGGTAAATAAAACAAAGGTATTGTGTCCAACTACAACTAAAAAAAAAATAAGAAAATTTAAAAAATAAATGAAGTACTGATACCTGCTATATTATGGATGAGATTGAAGGCCTTAAGTGAGCTGGGCAAGGTGGCCCACACCTGTGATCCTAACAGGTGGGGAGGCTGAGGCAGGAGGATCATGAGTTCAAAGCCAGCCTCAGCAACTTTACAAGCTCCTAAGCAACTCAGTGAGACCCTGTTTCTAAATAAAAATAAAAAGGGCAGAGGATGTGGCTTAGTGGCTAAGGCCCCTTGGTTTAGTTTATTCCCTGGTACCAAAAACAAAACAAACAAACAAAAAACACATTAAATGAAATAAGCCAGACAGAAAAGGTCATATAGTATATGATTCCATTCACACCACACATCTTCTAGACATGGAAATCTACAGGAACAAAACAGATTAGTTTCCTTAGGACCAGGTTGTGAGTGACTGGAGGGAGGGAGGGAGGGTGTGCAGGGGATGAACATGTTCTAGACTGAACATGGTGATACATGCACATATCTGCAACTTTGGGAAAGTGGTGTCTCCTCTAGGGTCCACCTGACATCTTCAAATTGGGCACCACAATACCATTGTGGCAGGGTTGTGGTGAGAATGGTTATGGTGATGAATACACTTATAATTATGGAATTGTGGGATTAAGATGGATTAACTCGGGGCTGGGGATTTGGCTCAAGTGGTAGCGTGCTTGCCTCGCATACATGAAGCACTGAGTTCGATCCTCAGCACCACATAAAAATAAATAAGTGAAATAAAGGCATGCTGTCTATATACAACTAAAAATAAATATTTAAAAAAAGATGGATTAACTCTGGTATGTGGATCATACATCGATAGAGATGCTTTTTAATATGACTGGCTTTCAGGATTAAAGTGTAGATGATAATTTTTTTTAAGAGAGAGTGAGAGAGGAGAGAGAGAGAGGGAGAATTTTTAATATTTATTTTTTAGTTCTCGGCAGACACAACATCTTTGTTGGTATGTGGTGCTGAGGATCGAACCCGGGCCGCACACATGCCAGATGAGCGCACTACCACCTGAGCCACATTCCCAGCCCAATGTAGATGATATTTAAAAGTTATAAACTTACACATTATCCCAGCTACTTCAGAAACTGAGGCAGGAGGAAGGCAGGTTTGAAGCTACCCTGGGAAAACCTAGCCAGACCCTGTCTCCACATAACATATAAAGACCTGGACTGTACTTCTGTGGTGGAGTGCTGCCTAGCTTGTGCAAGGCCCTGGGATGGAACCAAAACCCAGAGCACAACAAACAGCCTCCATGGTATGCATATGGGTATTCACTGTGCAAGTCTTTCATCTGTTCTCTGAACATTCTCATAATAAAATGTTGGTATTGTGAGACTGTAGTCAATATTTATAATCTGATTTTTTTAAAACCCCCAATTCATGGCTCATTCATGTCAGAGTGCAAATTCTTTGAAGTCAGAGACCACATCTTTATCATTCCTTCTGTAGCTACAGCACACACACGAGTGTCTGGGTATTTCAGATATTCAATAAACATTTTTTTATTGAATTTTTTAATTTTTTATTTTTAGTAATACATGGCAGTAGAATGTTCAGTAAACATATTTTAATTAATCAATACATAAATGTAAATGTCTAACTGTGAAAAAGACATAAGTGTACCGACTGTGAAGAGAACAGATGCGGGAATCAGTAGCCCGTCATGATGGCAGCCTCAAGTCCTGTGTCAGTCGTGAACCTCCAGGAGGTCACCCTCAGGCCTTCCAGTTTGGGTGTCTGAGTGGTCTGTCAATGAGGCTAACTGAGGTTTATTGTGGGCTCAGTGGGCACCAGAGGCAGATCAGGGTTTGCTTACCACAAAGGAATATCTTGTCTGTCAACTTTCATTCTGACTTTTCTAGGGACAGACAGGAGAACAAGAAAACCCAGTTACACAGATGGGGGAAAATAAGGCCCAGCACAGGGAAGGAGCTCATTGAAAACCAGTCAGCCAGCAAAACCTGACTGCCCCTGAAAGACAGAATGAAGAGACAGATTAAGAAAAAGTACAAAACAACACATACCCATGAGCATTCAGTATGAGAAAAGAAATCCCAGCTGATTAAAGGACAATAATTATCCTATGCAAACCCCAACTTTTTTTTAGTTGTAGATGGACACAATGTCTTTACTTTTTTTTTAAAGAGAGTGAGAGAGAGAATTTTAATATTTATTTTTTAGTTATCGGTGGACACAACATCTTTGTTTGTATGTGGTGCTGGGGATAGAACCCAGGCCACACGCATGCCAGGCGAGCGGGCTACCGCTTGAGCCACATCCCCAGCCCCAATGTCTTTATTTTTATTTGTTTATTTTGTTTTTTGTGGTTCTGGGGATCAAATCCAGGGTCTCACACATCAAGGCAAGCGCTCTACCACTGAGGTACAACCCCAGCCCACAAATTTTTTTTTAATATTTATTTTTTGTAGTTGTACATAATAACTTTTATTTTTATGTGGTGCTGAGGATCGAACCCAGAGCCTTGCACATGCAAGGCCAGCGCTCTTCCTCTGAGCCACAACCCCAGTGCCCCAGCCCCCCCCACCCGTGCATGAAATTCTGGGTTTTATCTCTATCACTGTCTACGGGTACGTTTTATTTATTTTTTCTTTTTTTTAATGTTTTAAAATGTTGTATTTTAGATTTATTTTATACACACACACATTTTGGATAATGTGGTAAAATTCCTATCTCAGGCTCATACCTTGTAGTTTCGGCACTGTGGTCAAGGTGGGGGACATCCTGATCTAGGTTCTCTCCTGTATGAATTAGCCGGGCTGCAGCTGGTTGTTTGGGGTGCCGGGATGGAACTCGGGGCCTCGGCCTCTGAGCCCAGCCATACTTGCTCTTTTACTTAGAGGCAGGGCCTCACTGGTGGCCTAGCGCCTGCCATGGCACGGGGTGGCTCTGCAGGCGACCCTCCTGCCTCAGCGTCCTGGGCCGCTGGGACCACAGGCTGCGCCAGGCGCAGGCGGAGCCGGTGCTGCACCCAGCGCCGGGCCCTGTGGCCGGCGCTGCCCTGGTCCTAACTCTGCGCCTGTCATCAGACAGGAGGGCGTGGAGGCCGAGAACAGAGCGCCCAGGACCGGGCTCGGGCTCAGGGGGCCGAGAGCCCTCGGGCCTTGAAGGGCGGGGGCAGGCGGCGGGGGCAGCAGCAGGTCCCCGAGGGTCTGTTCCTCAGCGTCGACAAGGGAAGGCCCTGCCTCTTGGCCGAGAGGCCACCGGGCGGCCCGGGAGGCAGAGCGGGCTGGGGTGCGGCCGGCAGGAGGCCGGTGCGCCTTCCTCAGAGGCCCCGGGGCGGGCAGGCGCAGCGCTCCCCTGACAGTGGCGGCTGTCGCTCCACAGGCCGTCCAGAGGCCCAGCCGGACCCTCAGGGGCCTCACTGCCCCGTCTGTGGGGGGAGGCGGGCTCTCCGGCCCAGGCACGAAGGGACAGGAGGAGACGCCCCTGGCAGCCATCTCTGAGACCCACTGGGGAGCGGAGGTGCAGCGCCCCGGTTTCCCGCCCGAGCCCTTGGCGAAGGGCCCAAACGCTCGCCCGGTCCTCGGCGGAAGGTCCAGCCCCGCCCTCACCGGCTCGTTTCTGTCCCGCGGACCAGAGAGGCGCAGGGGCCCGACCGCTCCCAAACCCAAGAGCTTAGAGGGAGGTCGGGCTGGGCCGGAGGGTGAATCGCAGAGGTCGGCGGCAGGTAGAAGGGGCCCGGCGGGAGGCCACGAGAGGAAGCGTGAGCACGGAGCGCTAGGAGGGAGGACCACGGAGAGGCAGGGCGCGGCTAGAAGGGCCACCCTGCGCCGGGCGAGAGGAGGTGTGGGAGGGCGTGGGCCTCCGAAGGCGGGAACTGAAGAGCAGGCCCGTGGGATGGAGGCCTGGGTGTTGGCGGCCTCCATCTCGGTCCATCGCTACCTGTGTGTCCTGGAGCTGGGAACTCCTCTTCGCATCCTGTGGTCACTCGTGGAACAGAAATGATTCAGTTACCGTCCAAGGGAAAGAAAGAAAACCATATATGAAAGAAGCCAGCACAGTGCCTCTGCACGACGCTGTGGAACACGTGGGGACCGGTGCAGTTACACTTTCGCCTATGGAAATCGTTTCGGCTCGTCTGAACTTATTCTGGGGGTCTCCCATTCTCCCACACCCCTCCCCACCTCGGAACTTAACTCTGTCTCCTGGGTGGCAGTGAAGCCAGATTTAAAATTAGGTCGTCAGTGTAGTTCGGAAAATCGGGTCTAATATCGAGTGAAATCTAAAATGGAGGCCAAGTTGAGAATGAATTTCTCAATGTTAATGAAGTCCAGGAAACAGCCTCCAACAGATTTGAAGATAGCTCATCCCAAAGAAATGTTAATGAACAGCAAACTTGACTCAGAAGTGCCCAGATTACTTCTTCTCCTTCTCCTTCTCCTTCTTCTTCTTCTTCTTTTTTTTTTTTTAATATTTTTTAGTTGTTGATGGGCCTTTATTTTATTTATATGCAGTGCTGAGATTGGAACCCAGGGCCTTACATATGCCAGGCAAGCACTCTACCACTGAGCCAGGATCCCAGTGAAAGTCCCCCGTTTCCCTGTCCAAGGAGAATCACACGAAACACTGGCTGCAAAAGCAAGAGGTGTTTATTGAGACACAGGCGCCTGCGGGTGCCCAGCAGAACCTCAGCCCGAGCTTTGGTGAACTGGCACACCGGGCTTGGGGATACAGAGATATTTATAGGGTAAAGGGGCAGTTTGCATGGTAAGCAATAGGTTTCTTACTAGTTAATTTTAAACCCAGCATATAGGCTACCTAAAGGGCAAAGTTGTTTTTCACTTTATGTTACTGGAAAAACCACATAAAAGCTACATGTTTGCACTCTGGTCCTCTTGTTCCTGCTTATTCAGGCATGCCTTGGGACCTGGTTTACACCTAACTGATTATCTGAAAAACACCTCTGGTGCCTGTGTAGGTTTGTGACATGCCTCGGTGGTTTTGCAACTAGGCCTGACGTTGTTGGGCTGGGGTCTTTCACCAGCCCCCCAGATTACTTCTTTGGGCCACCAGTGTCCCAACCCTTCGGGCCTTCCCACCTACATTCCATCACCAAAAACTATAAAAAGGGGAACACATTCGCCCTTCAATGGATTCTACCTCTTGGGTCCCCTTCTTCCTCCAGGAGAAGTATTTTCTGCTGTCCTTTAATAAACTTCTAATTTTCCACTCAGACCTTGCCTCAGCGTGCTTCTCTGGTGTTATTCTTAAACACTGGGGAAGCAAGGACTGGACACCAGTCAACAGCGGTAACTGCAGCACCAGCCTCCTGGGGGAGGGGGGCTCACCTCTCAATTCAGTACCACCATCAAAACAAGCAGATGGAGATCTTCCACAAGCTAGAAATCCTTCCACAGCTCCTTCCAGAGGCAACATGAGAAATGCAGCTCTTCATCCTGGGGTGTGTGAGAGAGAAAGCTCTTCAGGAGGCAGTGCCTGCCTGCCTGCCTGCCTGCCAAACTCTCACCACTTGGTGCTCTGGCCAAATTCAAAACCACACCTTCCTGAGCACTGTTCATACCTACAGATGTGTCTTGGGTTGTCATGGAATTACTTGTGTTTTATTTGTAATAATGCAAACCAGACTTCCAAAGACTGTGTGTATGTAACCTGTCGTCTGGGGCAACTCATTTCCTCCAGAATGCCATTTTGACTCCTTTCTCACTCCAGCCCCCAGGTGGAGTGAGGAGTCCCTCTGCTTCTCCTGCACTGCACAAGACCACTGGTTTCAGAGGAACGCTTCTAATAGTGTCTTTGAGTGCCCTCTTTATGCCCTAGTGCCAGCAGCACAAATTCAAGTTTCTCAGCCAGATAGTGTGGATGTCTTCAGCCAGCATCCTGCATGGTGAGCTCTGAAAGATGAACAGTGGTCTGCGCTTTTCCAGTTCTGGCTTTTGCCTGAAACTACACTTGCTGTTCCCCAATCTGGCTAATTCTCCTGTGACTGCAAGACTGAACTTGGACATCTCCTCTGGAAAGCCTTCCCAGTTCTGTGACCCTCACTCAGTCGGAGCACCTGCTTCTCTGGCCTCTTGGAACTAATGTTGCATCACAGTTGCTTCTTGACCTGTTTTCTCCTGTAGACACAGCTGCCCAGTATGGTAGCACCTGGCCACGTGTAGTTGCTAGGCACTTGAATTAGGCCAAGTTGTGTTTCATGTGTAAAAATCCAAACCAGATTTCCAAAGATTGTGTGTGTGTGTGTGTGTGTGTGTGTCCCATTCTAGTGTATGAGAACCAGCTGCAAGGGGCCCTGAGACTGAAGAAAAGAGGCAGAGTGATCCAGGATTGCACAGAGTCCCATTTATTGGGAGGTTAACTGACAGAAGCATGGTCATGGACAGGGGAAGACCAAGTGGATTCTTGAAATATGTGTTAGGAGGAAGGGTGTATATACTGGTTAGGACAAAAGTGACTTCATTCTGGCTGGAACTTACCTAGTTTATCTTATGCTAATATCAAAAAATCACATCCTTGGTGCCAGGGCCTGGGGACTTTGATGGCAGCTGTGTCTTAAGACAGTTGTGACTACATGAAGCTGAATCCATACAGCTAGATAGAATTCATAGAACTAGTGTTATATATGTACGAGGAAAAAGGCCGTATCTTCATGAACTCACAGGTCTCTTGGAGACAAAACTCAAAGGCCCCACTAGGTTTCTCCTTCCTTTTCCTTTCCAGCACCCACATCTACTTGTGGTTAGCCAGCCTCAAGCCACCACCTTGAGGGCTGGGAGATCCACCCCTGCTGAGACCTCTTTCACTCGGGTGACTTTTCCCTAAGGAAGTTGTGCATCATTCCCACCTAAGCTTTCTGCCACGCCACACCCCTCTTATGCCTGAGGGGTCATGCCACAACTCCCCATGCAGTGAGTGTGTTGGGGTGGGAGAGTGCAAAGACCTTCCCAGCACTGCATGATGCAGCTCTGCTGTCTACGTGCAGTGTGAAGGTCAACTTTTCACTTTTCTGGGCCTCAGTTTCCTCATTTGGAAAATGCTAAGGCTGAATGAGAAATGAAATGACCATCTCCCTTGAAAACCTAGTCTTTGCTTATAAAAGGTCCCTTAGTAACTCTGAAGGCATCCTGAATAGTCTTTGAATTTGAATTTCCTGATCTGTAAACTGGAGGAAACATTTTGATATTTTGGTCTTTGTCGCCCCCATAAGGCCTGAGAGAGTTTCTAGTCACAGCAGGTACCCAGTAAAACCTAGTCCATAAATGTAGTCGCAGAGACAGAGACAGGGACTCTCATTCATGCCAACAAGCTGGTGTACCAAGTACACCATTGTACACCATTCTTTCATTTATTGAAAGAATGCCTAAGATGCATGACAGTGGAACTTGAGGGATTTAAGTAGAAGGGGGATGCAGGATGAAATAGAACAGATCAGGGGATACAGAAAAGTTCTTGTGCCACCTCAGCTCTTAGTTTACCTCTTCCTGAGTTAATGAATTCACCCCCATTCCATTTATTGCTCCTTTGAATTCAAAGATGACCTTGACTATATCTTCATCAACCATAGATTCTCCTGGCCTCCACCATGAACCTCTTCCCTAAGTTAGGCTTCACCTTTTGCCCAACCTGGATCTCCAGGCTCATGGCCTGCCCTGACTCAAGGGTGACCCTTGGTCACTAGTTGTGCATACGCCTGCATGGACACACTGTGCACAGGGAAGCAGCAGGACAAGCTGCCCATCCACTGGGCTTCTTATACCTGTTCTTCTGTCTCAAGTTGCTCAGGAGTACCAGAGACCTGGCTCAGCATGTCCTTGTGCATTAGGCAAGACTGAGTCTCTCACTGACTTGGGCATGGAACTGTTGCCTTTAGCAATCAGTATCCCTCAGATTCCAGATCTCAACTTGGGAGATGTTAACTGAAGAGCTTGGCTCTGGTGTCATAAGGGGACAAAGCAGCACTCTTTCCTTTTTTTTTTTCTTATTTATTTTTTAGTTTTAGAAGGACACAATATCTTTTTATTTTATTTTTATGTGGTGCTGAGGATCGAACCCAGTGCCTCAAGCTTGCCAGGTGAGCGTGCTACCACTTGAGCCACATCCCCAGCCCATCTTTTCCTAACTTTCATGTTGGAGACTGAATGACCT